AAAACTTATTATTTTGTAATACTTTCGCCAAAATATTGGAAAGATATTCAGATCAATTTGAAAATATCTCCCAAAAAATCGATTTTTTTTATAAGGACCATTTCATTGAGACTGAATGATTCCAGAATGTGATCAATTGTGAATAATAACTATGTCGTCGGAACTTGGACGACAGTGAAAGACATTTTTTAACGCAGCTAAATAGCTAATGTGTGAAATTCCTTGCGAAAAGATACCAAACAATTTCTAAGTTCTTAATAACTGTTATTAGAATGAATGTGCACTCAAAGAAGAATTTTAGCCAAAACACCTAATTCTCGAGCCAGATTTTTTATGCTACACGCTTTCGTCTTTATTTAAAATAATATATGAAGATTGTAATAAATTCATTTAAAAATATTCAAAGTTGTGTTTACTGTTGTAAAGTAATTAGGCATGGAGTAAAAGTTTCCATATATAAAAAATACAGCTTATTTTTTTTTTTTATATATTTCAACAGATTAATGAAATGTAATCATTCAAGGGTTACTAATGCAATAGGCACAACTAAGGCATTTTTAAATTTATGTATTTTTCCTCTTTTATGTGGAATGACTCATAAAAAAATTATGGCCTTATTCATAAAAAATAAAGTAGGTTTAAAGAGCTTTATAAAGTGACGTTTTCATACCTTTTTCAGTTTATAAACGTTTTTTAAAGCTACTTTATTTTTTATGAATAAGGCCATTAGTTTTTAAAAATATTTTTTGCCAAAAAATCAACTCAAATGATAGAAAAGTTTAACTTTAAAAGGTTTGTATAAAAATGTTTGAACATCTTGTCAACGGCATCATAATAATGAGAAGAATCTTAATATTTAACGCAAACATTTTGGGCGAAAATGTTTAAATATAATAAATTTTATAATTCCGATAGAAAAGCAGTACCGTTTTTTTTTATAATAGAGAGTGATCCAACCTAATGTACATACATACATAGAGCAATTACTAATATGTAGTCACCTTAAATGTAATAATGTTGTCCCCACGAATTGTCAAGCTATGTATGTATAATATACATATACATATACATACATATTATGTATATCTATAAGCAATACGATTTATGTATGCGAATATGCAAATGCATGCATATGTATGAGGGCAGCTTGATACTGATTTGTGCGAATATTTTTTAAAAACAGGTTTTCACGAGATATTGAAGTGGTTGTGGTTTAGTGATAACCTCTTCATTTGTTCTAAATCTCTTGCCCCAGAGTCATTATAGGCGTTAAGAGTTAAATCCCAAGAATATGCTGGATGGGACAGCAGTCCGGTAGAGTTGAGTGGAGGTCTTACATAGGCCAAAACAACGTCCGTAGTGTTGTGGATACATTTACGACCAATAACACTGCCCAACAAAGTTCTGTTGAGTAAAATATTGTAGCCGACTCTTATAGGCATTTTCCCGTAAAATGCGAATATGCCGGCAAAGATATTAAATTGGCTCTAGCTTTCGAGAAACTTTGTTTTAAAGGTGCCGAAAAACGCGTTTTTGAACATCGTGCCTCTGTAAAACAATAAATTGATGCAATATATCCGTCTGTGCGGGAGGACATGAAAATTCAAAATCAAAAAATTAACCCTTAGTTGCTCGAAAACTAGAGCCAAGCTAATATCTTTACGGGCAGATTCGGATTCTACGGGAAAAATTCTATAAGAAGCGGCTGTAATAAATATTTCAGTCATCATAACATTGTTTAAATTCTCTTGGCCTTTGTAATGAATCGTTAATCACGTCGTTGGGACAATGCGGTCGTCTTATAAAAAGAATGTAGCCAGCCTTATGTAAGCTCAAGCTACTAGCTCTTCGTGCATTAACACTCTATACACCCAAACGCCCTTTATACATGGTATACAAAACAACTTGTGAATATGTGTTATGCTTTTTGCTTGAGTATACTCACACTTAGCGCCGCCGCACTTGCACCGCCTAATTTATGAGCCAGTTTTACTTTCAAGTGTTATGACCTAACACCTAGTGGCTTAGAAAATCGTTTAAAGTGCGTTTACTTTGTTTGTGCGGATCACTTGGTCAAAGTGGTTATAATTTTGTTTCTACCCCATGCTAATCTTTGCTATTTAGGGCTGCACTTACATACGTACATACCTATGCACATACTACTTTCCCCTCTCTCGGTTTTCATATTGTACGAGTGATTAGGCTGTTGCGCCCATAGCTGTTTGGATTTTTACGTAGTTAATTACAAAAAAGTAGTTGTTGTAGTGATCACATGAGGTTATGAACTTTTAGGTGGCAACCAACAGCTTATGTGACTGCAAATACTTTCTTTTTCACTTCCGTTTATTAATTAAATATTTCATAATCGCAATGACAAACGTAATGATGTTAATTATCATAATAAAGCAGTGGCACGAAGCACTTCTCTGGAGGGTGATAATATATGTAGGTATGATGCCAGATGTTGATCAATAGCTGATAACTCAATTGTTATTAATAATAGTAAAGTAAGCTGGCACGTGTATGCATGTGAATATTTTGCACTTGTTGACAGCGCTCGACCATGGCTATATACTTTTGTGGCTTATGTTTTTTTTTTTTATAAGTTTGGCACTTATCCCGAACATTGTATGGATAAATAACTAAAGCGGTAGTTTCATATGCAATACAATGTATTGTATGCATGATTGTGCTAAATATATTTGTCCCACTTTTTTCATACCCTAATTTGTGATTCACGCCCAAAACTCTCACTTGCCATACAAACTCGTATTGCAGGCATGCTATCCAAACGTAGTGACGTAAATAAATATGTACATTGTGTGAAGTTATAATGAATCGGCATCTGCCAATTGTGTTGCAGCAACGCGTGCTAAATAAATGTACATTTGCGATATCAAGTACGTAAATACATACATACATATGTATGTACATAAGCAACATTTATGTTAATGCTGCAACATATTTGCCTTTGTGGTTTCCTTGTTTTTGCCGATCTTGTATTGCATACATATGTATGTACTTCCGTAATCAACACGATTCTCAAATAGAAAGTGCAGTTAAAGAAACACTATTTTGAATTTATTTTGTGTATATACTAGTATGTATTTCGTTTTGTCCCAGAACCCAGGCTACTATGTTGGCTGTTGAAGAAGTCCGGTGCTCATCTCTCAGCCGATCACTGCCAAAAGCCTTGAATCCAATATTTGTATAGGTGTGGCAGAAGTAAAAAAAAAGTACTCCGGCGTCTCATCCTCTCCATTGCAAGGCAGGAATGGCAAATTGGGTTGTGTGAAAGCTGACCACAACCAGCTGTTTATACCAGCTGAAGTAGCTAGCCAATACATATGTAGCCTAAGCGATTTTGGCCGAGTTCAACAATGCACGCCAGTCGTTTCTCTTCTGTGCCAACTGAGGCCAATTGGAAATGCCAAGCGAAGACAAGTCCTTCTCCACCTGGTCTTTTCATCGCAGTGGGGCCTGCCTCTTCCTCTGCTACCACCAGCAGGTTCCGAGTTGAATAGGTACTTTCAGAGCTGGAGCATCAAATTCCAGACATGGCCAAGCCGCTGTATTTTAATTCGCTGCACTATGTCTATGTCATTGTGAAGCTCATACAGCTCATCATTCCATGGTCTGCGGCACTCGCCAATGCGTAAAGGCGCATATATCTCGCGGAAAATATTTTTCTCGAATATTCGAACAGCCGCCTCATCGAATGTTGTCATTGTCCATGCTTCTGCGCCATATATCAACACGGGCATGATGAGTTACTTATAGAGTGTGGTTTTCGTACGTCGTAAGAGGACTTTACTCTATAATTGCCTACTCAGTGTTAATGCTGGTTCCCAAGTAAACGAAATTCTCGACTTTCTCGAAATTATATCTATCAACAGTGACGTAGGTGCCAAGGCGCGATCCCGCTGACTGTTTGTTTGATAACAAGAGATACTTCGTCTTGCCCTCGTTGACCACCAGACGCAATCGCTTTGCTTACTTATCCATCTTGGAAAAGGCAGAACAGACTTCGCGGTTCTTATTAACGATGATGTCGATTTCGTCGGCATACGCCAGCAATTACAAGCTCTTGTAAAGAATGGTTCCCGAGCGGTTCAGTTCTGCAACTCTTATTATCTTCTCCAACATCAGATTAAAAAAAACACATGAAAGGGAGTCACCCTCTCTTAATCCTCGTTTGGTAGCAAACGGCCCGAAAAAGTCTTTCCAAATTCTGACGGAGCTGGTGGTATTGCTCAGCATAATTTTAAACAGCCATATCCGTTTCGAGAGGATGCCAAATTCAGACTATGCGGCGTAAATTTGACAGATCGGTGGTGAGTGTCAATCCTTTTTTATAGTTCATTATCTAAACCAACTATATACAGGCATGTTCTGCAATCAAATCGGTGCGATTTACAAAATATATTTCGAAGGATTAATAACAAAGAAGTAAAAATTTGGCACTAAATCGTTGGATATAGCGTGTTTCTGGCAGTTTCCATTTTTATACCCTTTTCTCTGTCTTAAGCTGCCAAGATACCCTGCTGCCCAGGAGCAGGCCCAGACATTTCAACCTGCCAGAGGGCAAAAAAAGCAAACAGAAAGAACGAGCTAAGTAGGTTAAAATTTTGTTTGGTTTTGATTTTCAACAAAAATCATTTCCACACTAGTATGTTTTCTACACGAAAAAGCAAATCAGAGTTTTTCTATTAGATCTCATTTATTTAATTTCAGATTGTTGATTTTGTTTAGTTTTTCTTATTATTATTCTAAATTTCAACAACTACATATACATTCGCAAATCTGCAATTGCATTTAATATCATTTTCAACTACTTAAAAGACAAATGATTACAAATTAATAAAACTCTTAGGCATATTCGTTAAATAATAAAAAAAAGTCTCTAATAATTCAAAATCACTAGGTATTAACTTGCCTACACCTTAACATTTTTCTTTTTAGCCTTATAAATGCTTTAAATACAGTAAGTAAAGAAATAAATAAGTTCTTTTCGGGTTAAAAAAATATTTTTGGGTATTTTTAAGTTATGTATGTAACTATACCTATCACTCTCCAAGGTACATTTGTTTATAAGAACGCACCGTTGATGCTGCTTTGATAAATTTTTAAATCTAAAATTACTAATAAACAACTTACTGTTTTGCTGTGATTTATCTGACCAACTGATTGAGAGTATTTGACTAATTCGAATGTCGGACTTACTAAAAAATGTACTTTTCGACATAGAGAAATATATGTATATATGCAGTTTTTGTTTGTGTTTTTTGGTCTGCAAATTTTCATTTCGTTTTTTAGACAATATCATTGAGTTGAAATTAGCTTCAGATTATACTTAAGAATTGTAAATTTTTCGGTTGAAAATTTCTTAGCTTTGTTTTTCTAAATTGGTTTTAAGTTACATATATCACAATACTTGATGATGGTGATATTGGTCTATTCTCATTACGAATACTCATTGCTTTTTTAGTTTCTTATTTCAATTATTGCATTATATTACAGCAATATAAATTAGTAAACGAATTCACTTTCTTTAATTCAACTGGCTTACTATAAGTATTCTATAACAATTCGTAAAAGGAACACAATTTCTGATTTATTTATGTTTTCATATGTATACATATGTATTTGTAAACATTCTTTTCACTATTACATACTATTGCTGACTAGTTAGCGGTTTTGTATACTGATTAGTGATGACAGTATGACAAAAGCTTAAACCATGCCAAAACCTTCGCTGCCTTCACTTATAGCCAAAAGAAGTGCTTTTTCAAATTGCTCGTAACTTTCGTAGTCCGGCAGGCAGAGTTGATTGAAGCTGTAAAATGAAATAAGTAAAAAGAAAAAATATATATAAAAAGATGCTCAAAACATTAGGGTGAGTACATAATACGAGTAAAATTAAAAAATATCAATGCTCATAATTGCGTCCACTTACCACGTGTGCGCCGTCGGTAGATTGCCAAATGTTGGCGCCGCTGTTATTTGAAATTGTGGATTCAATTCCTGAAAACCGCCTGGTGGCAATTGTGAGCAACCTGTAGTAAATTGCAATAAGCGCGCCATTTCGGTTTGACTAAAATTACTAACAGCCGCCCAAAACCACGCCAAGACGCGCCGAAACTCGGCGGAATTGCCATTTATGATGTGATGTGCCTTGAAGTCGGCAATCGAATATTCGCCAGTGCCGCACATTAGTAACTGAAAGGTGTTTGTTTGTTAGCAAAAATGCATTTTCAATTTTTCAATAGCTAAATCACCTCCAATTCGTTCTCATCGAAAATGCTTAGCAAATTATCTGGTATAATACCGTTGAGACCCTTTAAAAAGGCATCAACCTCCTCCTTAACACTGCTACAGAGCCGCTGTTGTGCCAACGCGTCGAGATATTGATTTTTTGTTGCGTTCGAGACACGCACCTTTGACCCATTAGGCGTTAATTCAACAGTTTTGCTCAGCTGACCGCTGGTATCGTAGACCTCTTCAACAAAATACAATTCCAGCGAGTCCGTGGCATCCAAATCAGTATCGAGTATATATTTGATTTTCGAGAGATATAAATCCGGATCGTCTTGCTCGAAGTACTAAAAAAGTAGTAAAATTACGGATTGATACTTCATTAGGGACGCGCATACAAAGCGCCTATGAGAGAGCTGAGAAATGCACGTAAAAGCAAGCTGGTGAGCGTTAAGCAAACCAATCTAATGCTTATATGCAATCTCATCTCTCAGCTCAGTCATAAGCGGTCTGTGTGCGCGACAGCTTACTGTCTTCGTTGGTATAATAGTCTATACCCACCTTATAATGCACACGCAAACCAATGAGTTGTGCTAAAAATGATCGTGTAAAACGTGCTCGCACCAGCTGTCGATATGTGCCACCCAATGCACTTTCATAGAGACATTTACCCACAATTTTGCCTGCGAACTCGAAATGCTTCAGCTTCAAATGTGATGGGCGATGTGGATTTGGATGTACTAATGCTTGATGTTTATCATGAAATGTACAGAAGAGTCCACCGCGTGGATCAAATAATGCGCTGCAAACCAGCTCGAACCATTCGCGACGCAAGCCACCCCAATCGATACCTGTAAAGGAAGGAATACGGCGAAAAGATGATCATTTCCGAAAAACACGGTTTCATTAATTTTAGTTATAAGTATTTTGAAGATACTTTGTTCTTTAACCAATTACATTATATTCTACGTGAAATTAAGTTACGAATGGTTAAAATGTGTAGTTGTATTTAAGACTGCATTCAGTCAAGAAATGCGCACAAACCTTGATTAGATTCAGAAAATCCTAACCTGTGTTCCGCTAAGTTGCCTTAATTACCACTGTGGGATTCTGAAATGCTTGCTTCAAGTGCATTTTTCAGCCTCTTAGATGAAACAAGATCGGTTAAATACTATCTCCATGGAACATAAGTTGTCCAGATTGAAACATCATAGCAGATCTAGCTTAATTTTTGATAGGGACAAGGTATGATGGGCGGTAGACTCCATTGCACCAGGGAGTCGAGCTCAAATCTAAAGAAAAACATCATCGATCTCCTGGTCTATCTAGTTAGGACTGGTTCTACTTGAAAATATATACCCTGCACCCGGAGGAGTCTTCTATATTTCTGAATCAGGTAATCGGTCCCCTGATTCCTTCATTTCGATCGATAAAAGACTGCTATGCTCACGTCGTACTCAGTTTGCTAATCCCAAAAGAAAATCCACGGATTCCGTCCTACAGTACTGGGTTAGTCATTTTAAAAGGGCCTTTAAGTCAAAAGAAGTAATCATTTTAAAGACTGGCGGGGCTTTTGATAATACTGCCAATGGATCTATCTCGAGGACATTAGTCCAAAGAGGCATAGATCTTTCTACAGTCCGGTGGATCGACGCCATGCTTCATCATCTTATTTGGGCAACATCTCTTCAGAGGTGAAAATAGCATGGCAGTAGGCAACGTCAACGCGCACCAGTAGCGGATTGGTATGGGTACGCGGAAGTTACCGAGGCAACCTTCACCGTTATTTATACACGAACAGATATTAACGTTGGCGAATGTCAATTCTGCAAGATGGCCACTGCTGCAGCAGATTGGTTCATCCCTGCCGGACACTGCATCCTTCGGTGCATCCAAGCGTCGAGTTTTCAGATGGCTGCACAAACTGCCCAAGTATAAGCAAAAATCTTTCGGGTGGGAGTAGAGTGTCTCACTAAGGCCCTCTACCTGATCATAGAGATCACCGGGGAAATCAACATAAAAGGGGAATCTTATCACCGGAACACACTTCTCTCCCCATGACGCCAAAATACCCAACGTACATATGTATCGTGTGTGAAGGTTCCGCGAATGAAATTGACCACTTTTTCACACGCCGATCTTCAAAGCCACTAAACTATCTTTCTTCTCCTTTTGGTCCGACCCCGTCGAAATTTCCTGGGTCTAGCGTTAGTTCACCTTGGCGAAGACTATGTGAAGTACCTAGACAGGGCTAACTATAAGCTACAACAACAACAATTAAATCATTATTTTCTGATAGAAGATATCTCAGCTGTTACTTTGACGTTAGCAAGGAAAATATATTCTTGTTTTGTTCTTTTATCCGTTAACAGAAAGATCTCAATAAATTGGTAGTTAGACCCACATTGTGCGGAGAGCCATTGAAGTTGCCCCCGACCCTTAAAGAACTGTACTTTGATTTTCAAACTATTTCCTCTTCAACAATTAATTATTACTTACCTTGTTCTCCTTGAAATGTCACCTCAAAGTTGCCACACCAATCGGACACCGAGAATCCCTTCGTCGCCTTCATGCTGCTCTCTAAAATCTTCTCTCGATTCACTTTCAACGCGAGCTTCTCATGATAGTAACTCGCATGAAATTTGCGAACTTCATGATAGAAAAAGTCCTGCTTATCCTTGAAGGTCTCTGAACCGCCGATGTTCTTTAATAAGAAATGCGTAAAGGTAGCCGCTATGATATTGCGGTCACGTGATGCCAACTCGATCTTCGGCTGTGCGCCATCGTCTATTATAAAAACCGGCCCATGTGGCTGTGCAGCCACGGACGGCAGAAAATGAAATTTAGTTGAAGGACATAGACGAAATGTCGCTATACGCTTAGGTATAAATTTCAGTATCATCTCCTTGATAGTGACCTGAAAGATGAGAGAATTCTACATTTGAAAATTGACGCTGTCATTTAATGAGTAACCCTTTCGTGTACTCACTTGTTTGGGTCCCACATAGCAGAGCACCTTTCGGGGCTTACTCTTCGGTGTGCCATAAATGCTCAACAATTTGGCTTCATAACAAATGTTATGCTTGCGCGATGCGATATTCTTATGGACGAGCGTGCTGTCGCTACCTATGAGGGTGGATGAGAGAGCATGAAGCGGGTGGAAAAAGGAGAGAGAAAAAATATTTAAAATTAAAACAATTGCACGGTAACCATAGGCGTAGGCAAAGGTGGAAGCGAACTTTTCAAAGTTCAACAAGCATTGTTGTATGCGGTATGCATGCGTTCATTTAACTTCCGTGTTTGCAAGTGATTTAGACATGTGTGTAGTGTGTAATCAAGGAGAACATTTAGGAACATACCACTCAGCACGATGATGTCAAAATCACCGTTTGGTAGCTTCTGTTCAAGGTAGCTAATGACGGCGCGCAGACAAAGCGGCTCCGGAAAAAGCGCCGTCACGGCAACACGTGTGTTCACGCGGTCATAGGTGAAGGTAATGGCGTGATGCAACTTCTCAATGGTTTCGCCATTCAAATCGAAAATCTCAACACGATAGCCCTGCATGAAAACCGAAAATGATTTAGTATTTCAAACTGATACTCTGACACGCCTCAATGTAGCGCCATACGTTTGCAACGTACACGCTCCTGCCACTAGCTACGACCAACTAACTACTTACTTTTACCGGATCGTCATTATCCTCGAAGTTGCACGCATTACCGAATTCATCACGCGGCTCAATGTGCAACATTGTCGGCGTTCCAGCACAACATATCACTGTGCTGGCCGGGCGTATAAAGCGCGATCGACGCGCGTCTATAGGGCCCGGTACAAAAGTTTTGGTAAAAGGCGAACCAGAAATGTGACTGGAGCCGATGAGCACTGAAATTTTATACTGTCCCGCTGTGCGTACAGTAAATTTCACTTTGGCAATATTTGCATTATTCGGATCTGTTGATGAGCCTAGCTCGCTAATGGTCACCACCTTGCGAGTACCCTCGGTGACTTCGACGAAAAATTGATCAGTATCACAGATGGGATAAGGCTGTCCGTTGCGTTGAAAGAAGCGTACAATGAAGCACATTGTGCCGCCCACTGGCGCTGGGTCCTTCCAGTCCCATTGCACTTTACAATTGGCCGGCAGTAAATATTTACCAGTCACATATTGTAGTAGTGAGTGGCGCGCTTCAGGCGCCAGTGATGGCTGTGTCATGGCGGCTAGCGTTACTAGGCCAGCGACCGATACGGATACCACTAGCATGCCACCCCATGTCCAAGCGTCTTGATGTTGACTCGATTTCACAACGGTTGACCAGAGTTGTGCTTTCAATGCATCCAATTGCGCTTTGGATGTGGGCAGGTTTTGGCGTGCTTGCGACCAGATTTGCCAATCTTTGCCGAGTATTTTACTCGCGCGTGAATCTTCTAACCAATATACGTCTTCCAATGAGGCTACTTCGACGGCTAGTAGCCGTTGATAGTGATGCTGTAGGCGATGGTCGCGTAACCATTCACGTAAGATAAGTTTCTGTTGTAAATGTAAAGCAGCACGTTGTAGGCGCTGTTCATCGCCGGGCGGCAATTCGGGTAGACGCTCCGGATCACCGCAACTGGACAAAGAGGAGATGCCTGAAAGGTAGAAGAAACATGTTTTTAGTAAGGCATAGTATTGTACGGAGGAATTCATTAAGATGCAAGATTTCGGATAGGCTGCTAGAATAGGTTCTATAACCAGAACCAGAGCTTTTGTTTGCAATCTTATTTCGAAGTAGCCCTTAACCTAAGATTAGTTGGGTAGAGATGAGTCGAGATGATTGCTGTATTTAGCACTTTTTTCCTTGTTGCTGTAGGTTGATTCTTACGATAAAATGAGAAGATCTGGTGTTTTGGAAGGAATTTTCATCATCACTGGTCAAGTTTTGATTGGAAACAAACCGGGTTCGTATAAAAAATGGCACTGCAGACGGCACAATGCCCAAACCGGTTTGCATTTAAATCAATCATCAGAAGGTATGACGGAAATTCGTTCCAAAATACATCAAAATCTGGCCACCATGCCTTGCTAACGACACAGGTGCATACAGACAGGCTATCAGCTATTTATTCGTTCTCTGCTTTTCATAGCTGTTATCAGACTGACTGAACTGCTGTATGGATTTCCATATGCTTGCGGCGCCAAGAGGTTACTAATTGTTCTACATATCCAGTCTTTTTCTAGTAACACTATTTCTTAAGATTTCACAGTCCCCGTAGATAACCAGCCATTAAGGTGGGAAGAGTATCCAACACCATTTCGTATGAAAGATAGAGCTGGAAAAAAGTTGAAATAGCCATTCGGTTGTCGGGGTTATGTTGTTGTAGCGCGGAGCTCCGGAACATTACGGCTGCTACGGGTACTATGGACATCTGAGGTTATCAGTGCCATAGTTGGTTCCGAGTCATACGAAATTTCGTAACGCAAGGGAACTGCAACTAAGTTTCAAGGCTAGAATAAATCTTCCTATTGGCTTTTTCCGCCGCTGGGAGTGAGAACATTATCCTGCCTCGATCTTGATCTCGAAACCTGTCCAGTTTAGAAGTTTATGAAGCATCCTTGGTGATGACGTATTTTATTTTGTGGCCAGCCACATTCAATAACGTTCACCAGCCCAAAAGCTTTGAGTCGCTAAAACTGCGATTTGTGGTCATGGAATTGACTGTTTGGGCACCTTTCGGGGTTGGGCTAGAGGACGTTACTGAATAGACTCACGTCTTTAGGAAGTGTTAGGTGAGTTTTTTTTTTTACAAACGATAACCATCTAAACCTACCCTAACGTATCTTTCTCATTATAGAGAAGAATTCTCCAAAAGCGTAAGGTCCATTCAAGGAAATCGGCACAAGTATTCAACACTGCGACGATTCATACCTGTGAGGGATATGTAGTCTGGCGGAAGAATTTTTAAAACTGGCTTGGTTTAGAAATAAATGAGAAAAATCATCAAACTTTCTTAATTTCGTTTCCAAACTTTATTTTGCTTACCCGAAATCGATAAAAAAAAATTCTATGTCTTGCCTGCTTTTGCTATTTTTGCTTGCATGACTTTTACAATGTATAAGTACAGCAGTCATCTCACACCTCTCTTTTAATAAAAATAACTTCAGAAATTACACCCAATGCCACTTTAATTTATACATAGGAGCCTTAACTTATCTCATCAATCAACAACTATTTGCACAGTCATAAAAACGTACCTATTTATTATGTATATTAACAGCCGGTAATATAAATAAATTTTTGTTACGACACTTGACACAAAAACAAAAATTATTCCAAAAATATTAAGCATGACTACTTAAGTATATTGGCATCGATTATTGACAGAGCCATTTTCATAACCGCTACTGCCAATCAATTACCTAAATATGTATGCACCCTTCCTTATTCCTTCGTAAGTTTGGCTGATTGTGAGTGAGAAGGATATACTCGCAGTTAAGGTAATTTTTGGTGCGACCAATTCAAATTAGCCGTCAATATTTTCGACGCTTTACTAGCAACAAAATGGGCAGTGAAATATTCAAGTGAGTGAGTGTGAGTAAGTAAATTACATACTTATAGGTAACAAGTACGGCACGCTTTATCACAGACGCCGATCTCAACTACCATTTAGATATACTTTTGCTAAAAGTTGAAACGTTGCAATGGTCACCGAGGACAAGGTCGAGGTGAACCTCATGCGCGCTTAAGTGTATATTTATCTGTGTGTGTGTGTGTGTGTGTGTGTGTGTGTGTAAGGAATGTTGACGCACAGTCGCCGCAACTAAAAGGTGAAATTGTCGAAAGTAGAAAAGCATAGTTAAATAAATAAGTATGTATGACGAAGATGATGATGACCTCATAGACCCAGCACTTTTGGTAGCACGCAAAGATATACCCAAATATGAATGGCAACCCATCTGGCCAAAAAGCTTCCAGTTTGGGCATCAAATAAATGGTAGCACCCAAGTTCAATTCCCGGTGCGACCTACCAACAGGAAATGCCCAGGGTGTACCACAATATCCTCAAAATCCAAATCGCCAAATTGAAATCCCCAACATCCAGATTTAAAGTTTTGTGATCATAACTTAAGATTTTGGGGGTGTATTTGAAATTATGCTAATTCCAAAATTATTTTTTAGACCTGTTCTAGCACCTCTATCACATTACATAAAAAAACATGCAGTAAATTTTTTCGTAGTACCGTGTAGTAGGAGTTTCTTACTTTATATTTTGTATTTGCTGATAAATAAATCAAATTATTTGGTTTTTTTCGAACCCGTTTTAAATAAAAAAAAAATTTGAGACTTTTTGAATTTTTCCGAGTTTTTTCTGGACTTATCGGAAGTTACTCTGGTTTTATCGTACCTGGGTTGTACGGAGCCTGTTGGAGGTTTTCAAGCTGAACTGCGCATTTAAATTTTTGCTTGCTTTTTATGAATGCCTGAAAACTAAAAAAAAGTGCGCCTAAGCCTTACCAATATATGAAGATTTCCTTTGAGTTTAGTTCGTTTCATATTGCAGAAATTCGCGGTAATCTTAATATTACCCTCAGTCTTAGTCTTTGCCATTATCCCCGTCGTCGTATTCGTCTTCGCTTTGTACTTGCTTTCGTCTTCGCGTTCGTCTTGGTCATCCTATCGGTCTTCGTCATCGTTTTAGTTTTTGCACAATAGTAATGGGAGTCGCGGAGCATACCTCTTCAATTATTTATCTGGTATTATCTTCGTATTCCTCTTTGTCGCCATATTAGTTTTCATCTCAACCTTCGTATTCGCAATCGTCTTCTTATTTGTGTTCGTCTTCGCCCCCGTATTTGTCTTCGTATTAATCTTCGTATTAGTCTTCGAATTCGTCTTCATTTTGGTCTTGGTCTTCGCATTCGCCTTCATACTCGTATTCATTTTCGTATTCGCTTTGATACTTTTCCCCGGATTGTTAAAAATGGGGATTGCAGCCTATTTTACTCTATGACATGCTGGTCAAAGTGGCTTTACCCTCAACGGCGGTAAATGCGCTTGCTGCACATTCTACTGAACCCTTCAGAAATATGGAAGATATTCCTGCAAACCTTCCGAGGAATTATTTTCACAGCGAGATCCGCTCTAGCAGCAAATGCGAGGAGGACATAATCTTGAGCTTGTATCGTAATTCAGTGGCCCCATACACCGACGGCCCCAAATAAAATGTTAAGGTGGGACGTCGGCGGTACTCGCAAGAGCTCTCACTCAAGCTCAGTTTTTTTTTGCCGAAATTCGAGTTAAACTGGCAACAAGCAAGGAAGTTGCTGATCGACTATTTTCTTAATCAGCAAATGGTAACTATTTTCTCTGAAAGTCTGGAAGCTGTTAAGGCATTTGGCTATAACTAATCCTAGTACAGGTAGTCACGCAGTGTAGACATACTCTAAATGAGGTGGCAAGGATGCACGTCATAGATTTAATCTCAAAGATTAGTATAAATATTTATTAGGTACCGTCCTCCGGCCACTGCTTGAAGGGAACGTGCGCCAACTGAATGGGTCTGTAGTCGAATGACCTGTTAGGCGATGTACAGGAAGTCGAGAGTAAAAAATATTATCCACATAAGTCACTGCTCGGCGATGTCAACATTCGTTCCGATATTCGTTCTAAGTATCCCTACTATTGTGAGTTTCTGATTAATCTGAGTTCAGCTAGCATCAACGATTTTGTGACCTTCATGAGAACGACGAATCGGTCCCACTTCTGGTGAAAGGAAAATTGTAAAGCACTTCTCTCACGCTATCACAATGAAAATGTGCTCCCTCCAAAACTGGCTGAGGGCGGCCGCAGTAACCTACCTACCATCCTCTTCAGCTTCAAAATTGCTTTTCGTACCTCATCGTAGTCCTAGTCCAAAAGCCTTCCATAACTCGCACAGCTTTCTGATAAATTTTTAAACATTTCAAGCTTTTTGCACTCATTTATATGCAAATCGATTTTCTGTGTTATCCTTAAGTGCCTTCCATCTATCAACATGATTGTTTTAGTTTCTCGGCTTTCGATTTAGAGACAACCAAATAGTCCGATGAATACTTCTAAAATGGAACCTACTGCTACAGACTACAAAGTTTCGGGCCACAACAAAGTCGATCAGCCTCAGTATGTTATGAAATGGCTGAATTATTCGACCCAGGTACTAAATATCCCCTTGTTGCCTACTCTGAAACTGACATCGCTAAACACGATTTTTGTATCGCAATCGTAGGTGCGCTTCAAGCGCCAGTAGCAGAGGTCTTTCAACACCTCGTCCAACCCATAGCTGGGAGCGTGGTACTGAAGAATCTTGGTTCCATATGGATTTTGGTGAGATGCTCAATTAACGAGATGAACGACAGTTGTTACCGACAAAGTCTCTCTACCCAAACAAATCCAACACCGAATTTGGGTTCGTTTAAATGTTAGTCATACTTAGGTCATGCGTCTTCCTTATCTCGCCCCGTTCAGTGAATTCTTTGGTTGCAGTCTTAATATTTGTGCGAACTTCGACCAGCTGGGCAGAGGGTTCTTTCCTTTTAAGATTTCGAACATATCCGGTGCATCCGCTTTAACTGGAGCACACATTTTTCTTTGATAGAATAGGTTAGGTTAGGC